CATGCTAAAAACAATAAGCTTAAGGTTCATAGCCAAATGGTAGATAATATTAACCCTAAGGTTTTTTTTTTTTCTTTTTTTTTGGGGGGGGGGGGGGGGGGGGGGTTACCTGACAGCTGCATTTGATTTCTTTTTCATAAGAGGTTTATCACTGTATCTTTTTTAAAGAAAAATGGTATTAGGTAAATAGTATCTACTTACATGTGGTCTAAGTAGTTACTACTGTAATCACTAGCCAGTCAACACTGAGGTTGTGAGTTCGAACCCCGCTCGTGCAGGTGCACTCAACTTCAATCTTAATTGACTAGGATTGTCAGTTTTCCTATCGAAGGTCGGCGGTTTTGTCCGGGCACTCCGGCTTCCTCCACCAATAAAAACTGGCCGCCACGAAATAGCCCAAAAGCGGTGCTTAAAAGTGGCGTTAAAACACCAAAAATCAAATCAAATCTACTTACATGTTCCAATAGGAATGCAAATGCCTGTCTTTGTAACAATTCTTCGAAACATCTCGGGTGTAACATGTCGATCCACTGCTTTTGTAGTATTATGATATTTCAAAATGACATTTACTGAAGGCACACCACAATTTTTCCTTCTATATCTCTTGTTAGTTGTTTCGATGATAATATTTCTATGAATATCACAGATCCTCAGTTGTGACGTACAATGTAATGTCAGATTTAAGTAAAGAAATTTCTGACAAAAATTTATACATGTATCTTTTTCCAATGGAAGCATTTTCAAAAAAAACTGTCGTCACTGCAGTTATCACAATTGCCTACGAAATCTTTTATGCTACACATTTTATAACAATTATTCGAAGATTATATAAATAAATACATTAAAAAAGTTAGTTACGGTAAGCAAAATAAACTATAAAATACACTGTCTTAGTACAGACACAGTTCCATTGTTCTGACAATATTTTCAAAATATGAGCAAATCACACCAACTTAACCATATATATAAGTGTAGGCTAACATCACTGTGAAAAATTTATCCATTTCCCATTATGCCTGAATATAAAACATGAAGAAATTCGCAAAATAACATTGTTGTCTGCATTTGTTTACATTTTCCCTCCTGTTTTTAATTTGTTTCTCTACAAGAGAACTCCGTAAAGGGAGGTAATTTGATTAGGTAAATACAGGACAACTCAACTTTTCAGGGTCAATTAATTTCAACACAGTCAAGTTTGCCCACTGATTTTTTTTCTTTTCTTGTATAACCTTAATCAATTCTCTCTATTCATATAATCAACAATATAAGAAATGGCTGCATTTTTTTACAACACCTGATCGAAATAGGCTCTAAAACCCCCTTTTATTGCATTTTTACCCTATTTTAGCAATATAGATTTTTTTTTTCAGAAAGTTTACTGTTGAACACAATTTTTATTTGTTTTTTTTAATCTGAAAAAAGTTTTAAATGTCTGAATATCTATATTATTTTCTTTTTATTAGACATAATTGATCATAATTTGTAAACACTGCATTTTCCCTCTTTCTTGCCACTTTAAGTCCTGTTACCAAGGAAACGGTAAACATATGGGGCTAAGTGTAATAATATTTTTTGTTAAGCTCATGTGGCTCTATTGAACTAATAAAGTTTAAAACAAATATTTTTTAGTGCGTGCCGAAATATTTTGGTGATTACAGAGAATTGCTCTTAATTATTAAATTCAAAGAAAACATCCTTAGATCCGAATTGGGACGAATTCAGAAACCGGTCTCTCTGGTACATTTAAAGAAGACCTAATTTTATCTCTTCGGGAACACAGAAGTTGATAATCCAAATTATAAGCTAGCGTATAATTTAGGACATGTTCCATTTTCATCTCACCTTATCCCACTAAATGAGTAGGACATGCCCACTCACTGCCTAAGAATTCCCCGAAAACCCTTCTTAAACTTAATGACGTCACCCTAAAGTCCCTAACCGATTAGGACTTGCCATTCACTTTATAACAGCTTCCAATTAGGAAACATTACTTGTCCTCCATGTATCTTGAACCTTTCAAGTGCTCCTTGTAAATTGATCAAATGGACACCATTACCCAGCTTTGCTAAGTGTGTTCAATCAAATATATATAAATTACTTTCTTTAGCACGTATATTACAGTACCTTATTGCGTAATCACGGATGCTCAGAACACAGTTCCTGAAACGGTGATTCGCTCGCTTACGAGCCCTTCCAACAGCTTTTCCACAGTTGGCATTGTGCCAGTACCGTCTCATTAATATATCTGACCAAATTATTTTAAAAGCAGGATATAATGGATGTGACCAAAGCAGGTCACATTCGATTTCATCGAATAGTGTGTCAATACACCCAAATCATTTGACCCAAGCTGAATAATAATGAAACTCAGGAGGGGGCGATTACGCAACCATTGTCCAAAGACTCGATTAAAAGTGCACCATTTTATGCCCTTTTGATCAATCCAATTAATATAGCCTGCATTCTGTAGGCCAAGGTGAAGTCCTCAAAGTCTAGACCAAGAGTCTTCATTCGCCCAATACACTATCGATGATCCTATTAACCAAATTGTTTTGACACCTACAATTGATACATGTATTACTTCAATGCCTGCAAATGTGGTTTCAAATTAATAAACTTAAATGGTCGAGCGAATGTATTTGGTATTACCGTTCGATATCCATCAACTCCATTTCTGTAAATAAGTCGTCATTTGCTCCTAACCTTTTTGCTTAAATTTTTTGTTATGATTCTGAAAGAATGTTCTCCGAAATAAAGTCCATTGACTTCGCAAAACGACACTTCTCTCAAAATAGAAGAAAATTGAAAATTAAGACTTGACCCTTCACAATGTATGTATAAGATATTCCCGGGCGGAGGATGACAAATTTGCAAATAAATCTTGAGTAAGTAAATGGGACACACATATTTGTCGTTTTGCTCACGGACAATCAAAGTTATAGAAAAGAATAGTTGATCTATTTAAGACTACGAATACTTAAATGAAACTCTTCATACCAGTTGAATTTAATCATTTAAAAGTCAGATATATGTATAACAAGTGCACCTAAATCAGCCTTACCTTCAGCTGCTATTTCACCCATGCGAGGTAAAGCGAAAAACCTAAGACTAAAAGGGTAAGCAAAGCTGATTAGTACGACGAATTGCAAACATATTGTAGCGGCCTGATTGATTCTGTTTATAAATTGTTCGAAATTGGTATCCGCAAGTCAGATTTTGAGGTTTTGACTTTTTTAGTCTATCTAAAGTTTCCCGACTCCGCCTAAAAAGGATTTCATACCATCTGTTAAAAGTTGAATCTTATGTTGATAACTAATTCCTGAAATACATGTTAAGACTGTTGAGTCTGAAATTCCCCTTGGAGAAAGGAAGGCGATGTTAAATATGAATTCGCTTAGTAAGGATGGCCAAATATCTTGTAAGTTATATGATGCGCGAAAAGATTTAAAATATTCGACTGCCTTATTGTACATTATTCAGGTTTTGAGTGCCATGGAAGAGTTTATAAGGTGATTTAATTCGAGTTCTAAAGCGTCCAAAGGGGGTCTGGAATAGCTGTACTGTACTAATCTGCTTCTGGTCAAAGGTTTATGAACCGCTGAAAATCACAACAGATAACAAATCAGCTAAGACATTCATTTTGCCGGGAATGCTTGTAAGACGATATTATACTGAAATATTTCAACGAGAAAAAACTAGAATTTTGATAAGGTGCATAACTCTATTGACTTTAAGTTTTTGCAGGTCCAAATGTGGTGATTTCAAGAGTACCTGATAACATTTATGTTCAAATTTACATGCTGCTCCATAAGTATGCCTGCCGTAGTTGTAACCCGTGGCACTCCATGGTGTCGAGAGTCTTTGGACATGAACAGGTTAAGTATCGTGGACATTTGACCCCATAAAAATGATTGGTATCAAAAGTGTCTGAATGAACGGATCTTTGGGGTGTAGAGACGTACAGTACCCAATTTCTACTCAAGACGTTTTGTGGACATCTAGCCTTGCCTGGGTAGTATTGTCATCATATGTGACCCAACCTAAGCCATACCCTCTAGTGTACTTCAGGAACTCTTGTCCTTCATTATAAAAATAAGAAAGTGTGGTATGATTGCCAATGAGACAACTATCCACAAGACACCAAATGACACAGATATTAACAACTATTTCAAAAAAGAAAACTAACGGCCTAATTTATGTACAAAATATTGAGCGAAAAACAAATATGTTACACAGCAACAAACGAGGCCATTTTCCCAGCATAACATCCATAAAGAAGATAAAAGCAGATGTCCATACATGTAAACTTGTATTGGTGCTCTGTTTTGTGGAGTAATGGTTTATTCTATTGCAAGGTCGCATTTAAAATAGAGTCTCTTTCTAAATCTTCTGCAGACTTTAGTAAAACATGTAAATCAAGATTTTCCCCATCACAATTCTATCTTTTTGTTTTAAGGCCCTGTAAAAACGCCCTGATTACTAGAAACTGCTGTTTGGTTAAACATACCCGTAAGGGCCGTAAGTTGTCGTGGAACAGGGCTTTAGTCGATACCAGCCATATCAGGTTGATCACTTGCACTGTCCAAAGAAATACCACCAATAGTCGGCGTTTGCAACTGCTGTCATTGGAATGACACTGTTTCTGTCTTGTTGGTTCTTTCATACTGATAAGTTCCAGTTTGTTCTGCTGGAATAATATTTTCTTTTCTGTCTGGCCTCTGGAATGGAAATGTTGTCATTCTTTTAGGTTCTGTTGCAGATTGGTGAAATACTTGGTTAAAGAAGAATGTCGTTGTACTTGGTCAATATAAGAATGGTGATGTACTTCGTTAAAGAATAATGGTGATGTACTTGATTAATATTAGAATTGGGATGAACTTGATTCATATGCGAATGGTGAAGTACTTGGTTAATATCAGAATGGTAAAATATTTGGTTAATATCAGAATGGTAAAACACTTGGTTAAAGGAGAATGTCGATGTACCTGAAAAATATCAGAATGGGGAATTTCTTGGTTAGAATCAGAACGGTGGAGTACTTGTTTAAAGGAAGATGGTGAAATACTGGTTTAATATCAGAACGATGACGTACTTGGTTAATATTAGAATGGTCATGTACTTGGTAAAAGGAGAATTGTGAGGTACTGGGTTGATATCGGAATGGTGATACAATGGTAAAAGGAGAATGTCGATGTAATTGGTAAGTTACTTGGTCAATATCAGAATGGTGATGTACTTGGTTAACAAAAAATGGTGAATTACTTGGTTAATAGAGAATGGTGAATAACTTGGTTAATAGAGAATGATGATGTATTTGATTAATATTAGACTGTTCATGTACTTGGTTTATAACATAATGATGATGTATATAATTAATATAAAAATGGTAATGTATTTGATTAAAGGTGAATTTATTACGTGTTTCGACAATCATAGAATGGTGATTGTGATAAAAACAGAATGATAAACGCTAAGTAAAAAAAAAACAGAATAGTGATTTGCAGATATAAAAAGAACGAAAAGTGCTTTGTTAAAATATGAATGAAGATGTACTTGGTTAAAAGAAATGATATTACTGTTGTTAGTTTAAATGTGTGTACAAGTGAAGGAACGTTTCCGAAGGAAAGTTTTGATATAAATAAAAAGGGATGTAGGGCATACATCAATGACAATCACACAGCAACACATTGACTGTTGACTTAAATATAGTATGCATAATATCTGACAATTAAATTTCTACAACAATGTATCATTTAAAACATCTTTTTCATGAAAATCTATATCAGTTAAGACACCAATGACTGTATTAATTTTATGAATGATTGAAATGCGAAATTCATAAAGGACTTATTTATCCAATGTAAGTTTTATACTCATTTAATTTGATGTGTGTCTCTAGTGTATAAGATATATTATGAATAATAAGTGTCACAATTTTATCTTATCAATTTGAAATCAAAATACACTTTTTGTAGTTGGTTAGTAGATGACAAAAATACAACTTGATGTCCGTTTGTGTTAATTTGTAAAAATAAAACAAAGTTTGCCAATACATGTTTATCCGTATTTGACACGGTAATAAGTGTATGCATGTTTATCATACATAAATAATGTTCGTTCAACGCAGAAGAACTATTTATTTATTCATTTGATCATACATTCTGGAATGAAGATTGCATCAAGGTCTACAGAGGTCAACGGTCACTATTCATATTGCATTTAATAATTATGAGTTGCGGTGGATAAATTTTATACTTTTCCCTAGGGCTTCAAACTTATTGCTTTTATTGAAAACTTCAAAAACCGCCACAATAGATCAACTGAGATCTTGTTAATACTATTTAGAATTCAGCCTAAGCCTTACTCAAAAAGATATTTGTATGGAATGCCACGGCTGTCTTATGTAGTACTCTGGCATTAGGTTATGTGGTTTTATTATTACGTAATGATATTTTGAATGATTATAAAACCAGGTTCAATCTACCATTTTCTACATTTGAAAATGCCTGTACCAAGTCAGGAATATGACAGTTGTTGTCCATTCGTTTGATGTTTTGTCTTTTGATTTTGCCATGTGATTAGGTACTTTCCGATTGAATTTTCCTCGGAGTTCAGTATTTTTGTGATTTTACTTTTTGTCTTTACATAATATGGTTTGACATTACGTAATAATGTTTTGATACAACTCAATATGGCATAGTCATTTCTTAATGGTATTTCGATATTACATGATATGGTTTCGTATTGACTAGATAACGTTTTGTCATTACTTAATATGGTTTTGTCATTAATCGATGTGATTTCACCATTATTTAACCTGGTTGTGTCATTAGGCAATGTGGTTTTAACATAACTTCATGTGTCTGTGGGTTTACGTATTGTTGTTGTTTCATTACATGATGTGGTTTTGTTATTTCGTAATGATGATTTGCCAATTCTTTATATGGCTTAAACATTACATAATGATGTTTCAAAATTTGACGGTTTTACAGTTATTGATGTGGTGCTGTTATTCTTTGATGTGGTGAGCACATTACTTCATGAGGTAAAACCACGTGACCATTCGGGAAAAACTAGCTCTATTCTTAAAACCGATTTCCATGTCGTTTGTTTTATGTGCTTAGAGTTCAAATTAAAGATCGGGTTACTGTTCCAGTTAAACTTCGAGTAATTCTTCGAGTAAGTCTTCGATTTCGAGTTAGAATTCAAGCCATAATTAGAATTGAAGTTTGAATTAGCATTGCATTTCGAGTTGAACTTCGAGTTTGAGTCACATTTAAAGGTAGAGATCGAGTTACAATTCGACTTTAACTTTGAATTTGAGAGTCACCTTTTGAGGTAGAGTTCGAGTTAGACTTCCAACTTGAGTCTCATTTAGATTAAGATTTCGAGTTGAAATTCGAGTTATCTAATATGAGTTTGTATTTAAATGTTTCTATCGCGCATCAAGGGCTTTAGCTCGGGCTACCGAAAAAGGACTTAGGGGCATGCGTACAAAAGATTAACAATGTTACAGTTTGCAAAACACAACATAGAAGTCTAAATAAAGTTAGATGTGGTGTGATGGCCAATGAGACAACTATCAACTAGAGTTTAAATGCAGTGGATGTTAGCAATTATAGGCAACCGTACGGCTTTCAATTCAACAATTAGAAAAACCCATACCGTATAGTCGGCTATAAAAGGCCATCACGTGAAAATATGAAACATTTCAAACGAGAACACTAACAGCCTAATTATTAACCAAACAATTTACGAAAAACAAATATGACACACATGAATAAACGCCAACCATTGAACTACAGGCTCCTGACTTGGGACAGGCACATAAAGAATGTGGTGAAGTTATAAATGTCTGTGAGCGCCTAACCCTAACCCTAACCTGGAAGCGTAACAGCACAACATTAGAAAATTAGAAAAAACTGTAAATATCAGTTGCAATTGGCTTAACTCAATAGATCGGTATGACTGGGCAATATAAATCCATCAAAATCCGGGGGGGGGGGGGGGGGGGGAAGGGGGTCTCGGGTGATCTGGAAGGGAAAACAGATCCTGCTCATCATGTGGCACCCGTCATGTTATTCATGTCAGTACAAACCCAGTGATGTGGGTCTCATTCGGTTGGTCACATTCGAGGATAAGAGAACGGAATTGTGATTACGACAATTGGAACATATCCGTCGTCACCTATGAAACAAATATACCCAAAAGTTTGGGTTTTTTTTTCAATTTAGTGCGAGGTATACCAGAAACGCAATTTATAAAAATAAAAGATTGATATTCGAATATGTTCAAATGATCATACATGCTAAAAATTAATCGGAGAATTCTTATTTTATAGAATTGATGCTTTGTCGCATAATGCGATCCCCCCGTTTCCCTGTAACTTTAGTGTGAGTTGATTAAAAGTGTCTCATTTGTTAACAGTACGGTACAAGTCATTTGATTTGTGTCGAGCCTGCGACATTTATGTCTCGGAAGTGAGACACAGTAAACTTATATTCCGTCTTCGGTAGTGGCGTCAATGTCTTCATCATTTAGATCGTTAGGTTTCTCGTTTAAACTGTTATACATTTGTCATTTCGGGACCTTTTATAACTTAATTTGCGGTATGGGGTTTGCTCATTGTTGAAGACCATACAGTGAAATACTACGTAATTTGGTATATGGTGGAGAGTTGTCTCATTGACAATCATGTCACATCTTCTAATTTTCATATAAGTTTTTTTTGGCAAAGAATGTTTCCGTTTAAACTGTTTTGTCATGATATATTTGTAAACCTCAATGGATTGTTATAAAACCTGTACAGGAGTTAATCTTCAAGATCAAAATAAAAATCTGCAGAAAAAATATTTTTTTAATTTTGTTTTTTACCGATAAATGGACTTACAACATTACACTTTTACACTGACAGCAGCAATGTCAGGCGAGACACAGGATTTCCGTGGAATCCTTCACGAATTTATAATACTGCTTCCATTTGATAGCTATGGAAAAAAAACAAAAAACAAAAAATGAAACGTCGGACCAAGTTGTTAGGCGATATCTATTAGATATCCCCCTTATGTCCGCAATATTGCTATTTATTTAGTACTTTTTTTTATTTCTGTCTGCATACCAAATAACTCCTAACAACAAATCGAACTTTAAATTAAACTATAACTCAATTGAAAGCGACACTCATCCGAAGCACATTAAACAAACGAAATATGCAAATCGGTTTAAAAATAGAACTACTTTTTTTTAAATGGTCACGTGGTTTTTACCTCATCAAGTGATGTGATAACCTCATCAAAGAATGACAGGACCACATCAAATACTGGAACAAAAATTTTGAAACATTATTATATAATATTCAAGTCATATAAAGAATTAACAAATCACCATTACCAAAAAACAAAACCATATCATGTAATGAAACAACTGCATAACGTTTACCCACATACACATCATGTAATGTTAAAACCACATTACATTATGTCTACAATTTCAATGACCACTTGATTTTATAACATCGCCTTTGTCTTTGCATTTTTGTAGATGAAATTTTATAAATAAGTTTGAGGTATTGAATAAAAAGATGAACATAGGAAAACAAAGGATATGGAGTATCAATTCATGACACGAAATCAATACATGCACAGCAAAAAAAAAAAACCCCACAAAAAGCAAAGTAACAGCTCCTTTATTGTTGTCTGTTCTTCATCTCAAAGTCGATTAAATAAATTTTAGGAATAAGAATGTTTTTTTGGCTGACTTTTTTTCATAAGCGTCCATCTGTTTTATATGGAGAGTAAATTCGAATGATAATGTGTATTGACATAAATATAAGTAAGTAAGTATATCAAAATTCATTATTGAACTTTCAATTACAATGTAGGACAATAAAGCATGCGTATGTTTAACCCTATCTATAGATAAGAGAGATAGGTTACCTTGTACAGACTGTGTGTTGAGGTTATCCCTTTCCTGTTGTTAAAAAAGTGTGAACAAGTATCAATTAATACTAAAATACGGAGATTCGATTTGATGGGAAGAGAGCTCTTGTTACCGGTGCTGGGAAAGGTAGGTGTATTTTGATCTGTATTGATAAAAATATGTTCAAAGTAATAAGAATATACAAGTTTCCTTTCATAAATGTTTGTTCATTTCCTGATACTTACATTTTGTTTTCAGTTATATTATCATTAGTAATACGACGCAAAGTGCGACTCAACAGCCTTGTGATGCAAAGATGCACACCAACCGTACGTAATAAAGGTTACAACATAGGTACCTGTGGAAGGAAACATATAGAATGGCTAAAACCAGAAATGTATCCATTATCCTGACACGCGATACAAACATTCTGAAATATGTTTACCCTCTGCGAATTATTATATTGTTTCATGATTAGTTCAATGTTCTCTTTTTACTTTATTCAATCGATAAGAAGTTACAAAGCTACTTGTCAAAAGTAGAGTAATGCCCCATATAAGATTGTGTTATGGGAAACCCTCACTGAGATCAACATAAAGAAATGAAAGAGTACAAGAAAAAACAGCAACTATTCTCGTGTCAAAAGATAAATATTAGAACAAGAAGTTGTGATATGATTGCCTTTGAAGCAACAATCCACATCGGAGACTAAAAGACATAGATGTTAGCAGGTATAGGTCACGTTTTCAATAATGAGCAACACTCAAACTTCATAGTAAGCTACCAAAGCTCCTTCTCTGTCATGCTATATAAACGGCCTGATTTATGAACAAAACATTAAAAGAAAAAAACATATGACAGACAAAAACCAACAACAACCACTGAATCACAGGGTCCTGACGTAGGATAGGCACATACAGAATAAGGCGGAAATATTCATACATGCGACTGCTCAACCCTCCACCGAATCCGGGACAACATTAAATTAGAACAAACTGTAAAAATAAGTTGACAACAGTTTGATTAATCAGAAAAACAAAGCTTACGAAAGACTAAAGACACAAAGTACCAATCAACATAGCTTGCTGTTACTAAAAACTGGTTCAAAGCCAATTACAACTTATAAATAAACCATGTTTCCCAGACAAAAGTATCAATATATATATATATGTACAAGTCTAAATTGAAAACAACGTTCAAACCTATGATTGCGTTGGATAAAACCTCAATTTTTATACGTGTGCATGCAAAACAAAGTTCTTGGTAGAGGGGTCTAAATACACCACAAACAGCATTTTCCAAAAACCCAAAAAGTGAAAAAGTATATTTTAACAAAACGCATTTGACTAGCAGATCGAACAACGGATGTTCTTAAACCCTGCTGACTGCCATTGGCGATTGCTAAATAAACGGATCAACAGATGTAACAAAATGGATATAACAATTTAATTTATTCTGATAAACCGGCAAAATATAAGTATAACAGTATGAACAATGTAGGACCACAAGTGTTCATAACTATAGGAATGCATATGAAGTTATTTTTTAATTTATAACAAAATCAATGCTAATACCGAAACAATATTCAAAGATCTTATAACACTGTTAAACTGATAACGTTTTAGACTAAGTTTATTCAAATGATCGATAAGTTTACATAAATTTTAAAAAGAGTGACTCCTGGTTAACTCCAAAAATAGTCTCAAAGAACGTAAGGAATGACGAAATTACAATTATTCTACTCAAAGAACTGAACAAATACTAGTATCTACAACACTGCTGTGTCTTTACTACTCTGTAAATTTAATGAAAAGAGATAGATTTTGAATTTATGTGATATAAAATTACATTCCATGCTGTTGTGTCTTATCATTACCTGATTTTTGCTATGATTAACTTTAATTCAGATTTTTGTACATGAATTTGAACTTTTGATGTTTGAAACTACTATGACTTTGTATTTCGGTCATTTTTTATACATAAAATCAGGCCGTTCGTTTTCTTGTTTGAATCGTTAATATTTGTCATTTCAGGGCCTTTTATAACTGACTATGCAGTATGGGTTTTGTCGAAGGCCGTACGATGACCTCTAGTTGTTAATTTCTATGTCATTTGGTCTCTAGTGGAGAGTTGTCTCATTGGCAATTACACCACATCTTCTCTTTTTATATTTAGTAAGTAACTTAAATATTATTTCGATTCAAATACATATGAAATTCAACCGCGATATAAATTTTAGGAATTGGTAGAGCTATTGCGAAAAAATTAGCAGAATGTGGAGCAGAAACATTTGCACTTATTAGAACACAGACAGATTTGGATAGTTTAATGTCGTAAGTAAATAGATAGATTAAAAGACAGGTAAATAGAAATAGAATCAGAGGTTACTATGTATTAATAGAAAATGTATATAAGTAAATTTCAGGAAGTATTTGCTTTATCCAAAATTAATGGAACTTATTTTAATACTTCCAACAATAACAAATAAATCCCGGAAATACTGTAATAAGAGATATAATTATCCCAGCTAACAAAACGTCTTGCATACTGTATAAACAAAAGGATCAATTCTACTGATTATGAACGGCTAAGGGACATTGATGTTCTTTTCTAGCAATTGATATATGAACAGTCTCTCCATTGTAAATTGATTATAGAAAGAATTTAAATATCTGATTCATATGTCATATATAAAGCAGAAACTTAGTACTAGGTTTAGTTAGCACTGCTATGTTTGGCGCTTATTCTCCTGATGTTGTTTCCTTCCAAATATTATATTGTGTAGTAGTTTTCTCACTTATAATCTCATTGTGTTTGAGGATGGTAAGAAAAAGAAATTACAGAACAAGGGTTTTATACACTGGTCTACATCGGCGAAAACATCTCTTGAATCGATTTACTTGGAAATATTGGTGTTTGTTATTACATTCTCGGTTTGAAAAAGGAGGCTAAAATACTAAATGAAGAAACATAATTACATGTATGTCGAAGTCAAAGTGACAACGCCATAAGAATAAAACCTTTAAAAAACGTCGAAAAGACAATAACAGTCTACATAACACAACATAAATAACTAAAGACTGAGCAAAGCGAATCCAACCAAAAACCGGGTATGCTCTGGAAGGATAAGCAGATGCTGCTCCACATGTGGCGCCATGTGGAACATGTACTTCGGATGTTATCTCAAGTGTACGGTCACAAATGCCTCGCTTGAAAAAGACAAAAGGTTTCATAGAGTGTGGATCGTGCACCCCATGTCAGTAATTCAATGATCATCAAACATGGTAATATTTCTTTTGATAAATCTTATTGGTGTTTATTGTAGGCACCAAAAACCAAACAAAGTTATTAATGTAGACTTACAAGACTGGGATAAAACAAGAGAGGAAGTCAGTAAGACCGGAAACATCAACCTACTGGTTAATAATGCTGGTATAGTAATGCTGTTATCATTTATTGATACTCTAAAAGAAAACATTGACAGGCAAGATATCACTCATTTCACTAAACAAATGCTCATATATATTTTTTAAAATCTTAGTTTTATTCTTATATTTAGCTTATTACAATCTCTACACTTAAATTAGCAGACCACCCGAGGGTGAAAAAATATATGATTTACTTTTTTGGTAGAAATTTTAACTGAACAATTAGAAAGACAAATTTTGAAGATTTTACACTAAATTTTTCAGAGATCTGGGATTTTGATGAACTTATATTCAGTGCACCTGGCACTTGCTTATCGATATATCATCATTATACAAATATATGCTGTAGACAAAATGTTCAAAATTCAGAAAAAATGAAATGTTTGAGAACAACATAAAAGCACGTAACAGAAAAACAAAGCTATATAATGTCGACTTTATCGGGAATAACAACATTATTACAGTACAAAGACACAACCTATGCAGTAGACTTAACTGCGAGTACTCTCAAATCGTACTATCTTTTTAATTTGACCTGTTGATACTATTTGTAATGCTTTTTTGTTATTTAATGTTAACATGGATCTTGTCTATATACCAGCTTTGATTATTTGGTATTTAATTTACCACAAATTTTCACTTCTTCGTACTATGAACATCAAAATTATTTCATTTTTCCTTAGATGCTGTTCTTGGACTTGTACAGGAAGTTTTATCTAGCACTAATTGTATATTTTTATTGTTGATATTCACCCCATATGTACCAAGTGTTAGATTAGTTTTATTGATATTAAAGAAATTTCTTGGTATTCCTAAACGGAAGATTTTATACACACAGAAGAAGTATACTTAACACAAAATAATTTTCATTTACCTGTGTATAATATGACGCAGGTTTCTTCAAAAGTGATGATTTTCTAAAAATTGTTTGAAATTTCACAGTGATATCATACTTTGATATTTATTCACTTATAGGGTCTTTGCATCGGCACTAAACACATTTATTTAAAAACCAGTTGTTGGCATGACACGGGTTATGTTCTTCTCATATATGCTATGATGGTATGATACTAAACCCCTAACGGGAAGGATTGTGCCTGATATTCATATGATGAAGACATAATCTTTCAATCAGTTTAATTGAAGTCTGGAGCTGGCATGTCAGTTAACTGCTAGTAGTCTGTTGTTATTTATGTATTATTGTCATTTTGTTTATTTTCTTTGGTTACATCTTCTGACATCAGACTCGGACTTCCCTTGAACTGAATTTTAATGTGCGTATTGTTATGCGTTTACTTTTCTACATTGGCTAGAGGTATAGGGGGAGGGTTGAGATCTCATAAACATGTTTAACCCCGCCGCATTTTTGCGCCTGTCCCAAGTCAGGAGCCTCTAGCCTTTGTAAGTCTTGTATTATTTTTAATTTTAGTTTCTTGTGTACAATTTGGAGTTTAGTATGGCGTTCATTATCACTGAACTAGTATATATATTTGTTAAGGGGCCAGCTGAAGGACGCCTCCGGGTGCGGGAATTTCTCGCTGCATTAAAGACCTGTTGGTGACCTTCTGCTGTTGTCTGTTCTATGGTCGGGTTGTTGTCTCTTTGACACATTCCCCATTTCCATTCTCAATTTTATTTGACTTTGTTTAAACCTGTTTATTTACTTTTTACTTTAATTATTTTACCCTTGTAATTTTTTATTAACTGTGTCTTTGCATTCAGGTGTCACAGGTCAAATTTATTCATTCATTGTGTGTTAATTTACGTTTTTTTGATTGAGTTAAGCCTTCCAATTGATATTTTATAGTGTGTTTTTCTATGTTGTGATATTATACTTTTGTTTCAGAAAAGGGAGAAGGTTTGGTACCATTAAAACGTTTAATCCCGCTGCAAATGTTTGCACCTGTTCTAAATCAGGAATCTGATTACAGTAGTTGTCGTCTGTTTATGTAGTTCATACGTGTTTCTCGTTTCACGTTTTTATATAGATTGGACCGTTTTTTTTTCCGTTTGAATGGTTTTACACTAGTAATGGTTTGCGGCCCTTTATTGCTTGATGTTCGGTGTGAGCCAATGCTCCGTGTTGAAGGCCGTACCTTGACTTATAATGGTTTACTTTTATAAATTGTAACTTGGATGGAGAGTTGTCTCATTGGCACTCATACCACATCTTCCTATATCTATTTTACACGAATAATTGATATTTTTGTTTAATGCCTAATAATATCAATGTAATAGCTACTGGTTAGATGATACCCTAGGGGACATATTGGCTCATGAGCAGTAGACGTATCGGTAAATTAATATATATGCTATTGTTATTCAATAATTGCATCTGAAATGTTTGGTATGGCCATTAATTCGGTAATTTTTAGTTTGAAACAAGATAAAATGTTTGATATAAGATCATATTTTTCCTTTTAAGTTAGTATTCGTATAGACGTGATAACAACACAACCACAACCTAAGGTCTACCTTGCCTGAAAGAGAATTAACATACATAACAGTTTTAATACCTATTACACGACGTATTGATGTGTTCCCATGCGAACCAACTCTGCCCATCTTCTTGCCGACTTGTTCTTTTATTCATATGAGGCTGCTTTCATACAGGAGCTTCCGAGGAAGAAAGAAAAAGAGATAGCATTATCCTTGAACTTCACTTTCCGCTATATTGATGATGTCCTCTCAATAAATAATTCAAAGTTTAGTGACTATGAACGCATCTATCCCATTGAACTTAAGATACAGTTAAGTCTGCCTCATATCTTGACTTACATCTAGAAATTGACAATGACGGTCGGTTGAAAGCGAAACTTTACGACAGAAGAGATGATTTCAGCTTCCCAATTTAAACTTTCCATTTCTATGCAGCAACATTCCAGTAGCGCCTGCATATGAAGTATATATTTCCAAGTTCATACGATATTCTAGGGCTTGCTTTTCCTATCATGATTTCCTTGATAGAGGGTTTCTGTTCACAATGAAGCTATTTAACCAAGAATTCTAAGTGGATAAGTTGAAATCATTCCTTCGTACATTTTATGGACGCCATCACGAGTTGGTAGACCGTTATGGAATATCTGTTTCACAGATGACGACGAATATGTTCCAATTATCGCAACCGCAATCCATTCCTCTTTCCCCAAAGGTGACCTACCGAATTAGACTTATCACCGGGTTTGTACTTACATGGGCACCACGACGGGTGCCCTAGTAGAGCAGGATCTGCTTACCCTTCCGGAGCATCTGAGATCACCCCCGGTTTTTGATGGGGTTCTTGTTGCTCAGTCGTTAGTTTTCTTTGTTGTGTTTTGTGCACAGTTGTTTGTCTTTTCGTTTTTTTCCGTTTGTTTTGTAATGGCGTTAACGTTGTCAGTTGATTTACGATTGATGAGTTTGAATGTCACTTTAATATCTTTCGCCTCTCTTGAATGAAAATTTACGATACGAATACACGATATATAGCATTCTTATACCAAAGCACTGAATACTAGGTAGATGAAGCCATCATGGACTAGCAGTCCACCAGACGTGTTACAGAAACAGTGGAGGATCACTGACTCGATCATACTAAACGTTTAAAATCGAGTAATAGCAAAACCTAGTCGGCTCGAAATGAAAATAATGTGTCCCGGGATCATGACAAGTTGATCAGAAATGTAAAAAAAAAAAATTGATCTAGTACAAAACCAGCTGAAATTCATATCAAAGTATTCAAATTTTTATTGTGGTCAAAGGATTGTCAAACAGTTATTTTAAGCAAAATAGGAAGAAGAAGATACGAAAATTGCAATAAAAAGCAGCTATAAAATGACAGTAAATGCAATGATGACTTAAAAAAAACGCAACAAAATGCACGTTTTATTCTATATGACTATTCACACCGCAGTCAGCGCTTCAGCAATTTCATGGTTTGCATGATACATTGTGACTGTTTCTTTTAAATTGATAAATTGTGTAATTAAAACCCAAACTTAGTTTGAACGTCTCCTTAATGCGAAGTTACCTAGCGGGGTTGTGTTTGTTCTGTTAAAGCCCTTTTTGGTTTTTACAAAAGTATTGATATAATTTATCTATTTTTGTTTTATTTATACTGTTGTAAAGCGAAGAAAAGTCAAATATTTAAGGTCTGATGGCTTACAGATTTTGTAAAGGGCAAGTACGGGAATTTATCCGGCGATTAATATGATTTGTTTGTTTATCAGAGAGCGTTTACTTAACTAGAAAGATTTAATACTTCAGGACTTCTGATAGATTACAACTGGACTATTTTGTTAATGAATTGTGCGACAGGTTAAACATGTGGAATGCACTTATTTTGTTTTCATAGATTCTGCTGAAGACATAACACTTTTAATTACCAATAACATTTGTGAAGACATGATCGCAAATCAAACTAATCAATAAGAAGCTAAGATATAGTTGGGAGTTCAAAAGAATTTACGTTAAAATGGTTGCAGTGAACGATTTTTTTGAGACGGTATATTATTATTATTTTAGATTATTGCTAAGAGGATGATAGAAAAAGGATATGTATGGCATTAGAACCGATGAAGTAGAAATTATGTACACTTCTAAAAGAGGGTAACCCTACGCCTGGACATAATTAGGTTAATGTGTACATTGTTCGTTTACTTTTTTCAAAGGATAGATATCTGTCATGTTGCGCTTAACAAGTTTTTTATCCGACTTTCTCATTTAATTCCAAGGAACTGCTTTCCATTCTGGAGCACTTGAGTTCAATTGGATTTCGGTGTAATAATTGTTGCATAATCTTGGGTCTGGATAGTGTTGTGTAAATTTTTTTCGTCTTATTTCCCTTTGCCCATTGTGTTGTCTGGGTAGTGGTATGTGAATTAATGTTCGTCTTATTTCCCTTTTTTCATGGTGTTATCTGTCTTTCTTTGACTCATGGTTTTATATTGTCACTTTGGTATCGTCTCTCTTTTCAAATTAAAATACATGTTCATATAAAATATGATTTATATTTTCTAACTTTGTTCTCAGACATTTGAACCAATATTTATTTTTAACTTGCAAGTTATTTTTAAGTAAGCAATTGGCTTCTGTATATTATAAAATTTATTTTTCATTGTAATTTCAGATAAGAGTGAATTCGATTAACCCCAGTGTGGGATGGACAGACATGACTCGTCCAATCAAGGATTTCTTGATACCGTTACTATTCAAGACACCATTGGGAAGATTTCCAGGTAAGATACATTAGTAGAATGTCGATCGATTAATTCATTAGACCCAAAGAAATTAGAGAAAAAATTATAGATAGATTATAGAATCAAAGTAACAAGACGAAAATATGTCGTGCAGTTTTGATCACCCGTTTACGTCACGTATTACGGTATACCATTTTCCGTCCGTGTGTCCGTCATCAAGATGTCGGACAATAACTCAAAAACGATTTAACCAATTTTCATGAAACTTTGGTGAATTGTTTATATCTATTGACTTAAGCTCCCTTTCGATTTTTATATATTTTAGATTTTTCATTTTCGAGTGATGGGATTTATTCATAAAAATGGGGGACTTTCCAGTTTTCTGACTAAAACTCAAAAATGCTTTGAACAATTTTCATGAAACTTTGGTGAATTGTTTATATATATTGACATCAGTTACCTTTCGATTTTTTAAAGTTTCTGATTTTACATTTTGGAGTACAAGAATATTAAATTGGGATTGAGTTTGTAATGTTGTTTATGTATTTTCTAACCATGACAAGAATATAAATACCTCTTTGAGTAAGGTATTGATTCATTTATAATTTGTAAAAAAAAGCTATCGAGTTAAATTGCTATTTATGGTCAAAATATTTGAATTTCGACGATATTAAATACATTTAAGAGTAAGCATAACTGATATTTCTGCATTATAGTTTTCACTTTACATTATCCTTATCATTTATCAAGTAACATCACTTTGATTCAAGGATTATACTATTATTTTCATTTTATGGGTTGGGTGAATACTTGTAACATACAACCTTTGTATTTGAATGTTTCAAGACAGCATTATACATCAAGCAAAAGAAAAATAAAACTAAAACGAATATATGACCCGCCATGACATTTCTGGGCTTATGGAGGTATAACGTCATAGATAAAAAAAAACGCCGTTAAATATTAACATAATTTCACGTTTGCAAACATACTGAATTTAAAGTCTGGAGATTTTTAGCATTGGTGCATTCTTCATCACATTTTTTCTAATGAACAGTTATCAAATATCAATTAAAATACTATACAGGGACTTCATTCATTTTTTCTACAAAATCTATCAAACAAAACTATACTCACTATTTATTCAACAATATATGTGTAACACAGGAACAGACAATAATAAGAATACAGTTATACGCTTTCACGAATGTAGCCATACGATTTTAGAGGGTTTCATATTTCAACATAAGACTATCTCCCATTATACACACATTTCCGGGCTATTGCTACATAAATATGAAAAGTATTTAAGTTTCCATAAGAATGCAGGTATCATTAAGAGAATCAGTCTATTTATTTAAAGAATATGTATATCGTCGTGTGAATGTTATAATTATGTAAATCCCATTGTTTCTAAATGTTAGAAAATTGAAATATATTAAAAGTGCTATATAATATATATATTTGACTCATGTTTAGAAAACAAGAGATGTAGCAATCAAATTTATAGACTTGAAGAGCAACTCTTTGTTCAATTGTTTTTGCATAAACAACATCTTAAAAAAATTAAGCATCCGGTTTTTTTTGGTGAACACTACAATACAAAAACATATTTTAGAAATTATTTCCAATATTTGTATTGGAGATAGACAATGGATTGTTTAATTCTGTAATATCCCCAATTCTGTAATGCTTGAATTGCTGAGTATTATTCAAAGATTGAGTTGAAATAATTAAAAAACAATTAATCAATGTATTGCTAAGATAAATATGATAACAATTGTTTTAGAGGAGTAATGTCTGTAAAACAGTGGCGATACAATACTTTAAAATTAATTTTCTCTGAACTTCCGATGTCAAACTAGTATAGTTTTGACAAAAACTCATAGAATGTGGAAATTTCGTTTAATAGTTGTATGGGAAGATAAACCATTGCACATGGATCTCAAACACATAGCTATCTCAATTTTTATCAAAAGTGGACATAGAACATTATACGAATCACACGACGATTTATCTATGATAGATCCAGTCAATTAATGTAATTCGATGGACGTGAAGATATGTGATGAATTATTAGGAGTCCAAATCCTCGAAATATCCATATATAAATAAACAGAAAGATCAGAAACAATATTAGACATTTATAATAGAAGTCCAAATAAGTGGTTGTTATGTAAGCATGGTATATTTAAAATATATTTTATTTCATAGGTTTAAGCATGGTAAAAATAGTATATAAATTGAAAGTAAATCAAACGCTTACAAATTAAAACTTGTTTTCAGATAGTTCCTTCAATTTCCTCTGGTATTTAATTGTCGTTTAAAAGTATTTTTTGGAGAAGGTTAACCACTCTACTCTGGTCATATTCTTTTTAAGATTTACGTTTTTGTTTGAATTTGAAATTACTTGAATACTGATAAAAAAGCTTTCAAAGTGTTTGAAATCTAAAATTATATGTTCTATAGCGTTTTCATAGGCAGAATAATTAAAATTACATCATAATGATAAATGCACCGTCATTTTGAAAACTACGCCTTATATAAACCGTTACGCCTCGCATGCTATATAAATAAGAAGATGTGGTATGAGTGCCAATGAGACAACTCTCCATCCAAGTCACAATGTGTAAAAAGTAAACAATTATAGGTCAAAGTACGGCCTTCAACTCGGAGCCTTGGTTCACACCGAACAGCAAGCTATAAAGGGCCCCACAATTGACTAGTGTAAACAATTCAAACAGGAAAACCAACGGTCTAATCTATATAAAAAAACAAGAAACGAGAAACACTTATGAACAACACCAACAAACGACAACCACTGAACAACAGGCTCCTGACTTAGGACAGGTGCATACGAATGCAGAGGGTTTAAACGTTTTAACAGGCGCCAACTTTCACCCTAACCTGAACTATATGTTTGGTAGGGACTTGCATAATTAAACTTTAAAAGAAAAAACCCTGCTACAGACACATTTTTAACTAATTTCATTGCAAGTTTATATTACATTTTCTAAAAGAGCAATTAGCTGTTTTTAGTACATTTAAAACTGTGTTCAAATAAACCGTTAGAAATTACTCAGCGCCATTGAAATGTCCTCTTAATAAAACATGCGTTCGTTAATAAAAAAATTGAATCAAATACTCCTTATGTAGATATACAAAAAGACCTATTGGTTCAACAAATCTGTCATAATAACTTGAAAAGATGTTTTCTCTCAATAAGAACTGGATAAATGTGCAATAAGCCCATTATAGACCAGGTACCTCCATAAGCCTGGAAATCTCATAGCTTGTCACATATAGTTTGGGGAATTGCTTAAGCATATTGGTTGTCGTATGTTGCTGTTTTCATATTTTTTTTTCGTTCATTGTTTTGTACATTAGTTTTCTCGTTTAAATTGTTTTACATTTGTCATTTCGGGGCCTTTTATAGCTGAATATTGCTCATTGTTTGTAAAGTATATTGATCCAATACCCACCCACTCAAAGTATGGATCCCATTTCCGACCTGTATGAATATAATTCGTCAAAAGCTGTAAACTTTCATTGTCAATGATGTTTCAACATAAAATACACAATATGACAATATTCAAATAACACACAAGTCACAATTGGATAAGTTGACAACGCGATTGATAACAGTCAATACGACACAATAAGCAGTTCAAACATCCACAAACCAATAATGTTATATATCACTTACGCTATATTGTATCTATATTGTATCTTTCTATCTATTCTATATTTCATCTCAATCATTCGCTATTAACTTGGTTTGCCAGGAAGAACAAAGCCGTTCAAAAACCGGTTCAGGGTTAATCGAGAAAGGGGAAAGAAACAAGTATATATACTGTATTTTTCTTCTTATAATTTTACCTCCATTATTTGAATATATGTACCACTACTTTTTACTTCATACTACTTCATCACATCATCTAATTAGGATTAATCCTTCATTAAATTAATACTAATATCGAAAAATGTTATCAGATTAAAATAAATCGCCATACAATCCAAAATTAGTTATCAATCAAAGTTATAATGTTTAATCTATCCGATACATTCCCCGCCACAAAGTTTCTGTGAAGTTACAACTCAAATGTTACTAATTTGTTCTTCATCTGGAATCACCACTACAAGTCTGTATGCAGATCTTCGGAAAATTAAGTCCTGAGTTTCTGTGTATAAAGTTCCAGGTCAAATTTCTTGTATCAATCTGTTACATCCCTTCCACACCATCTCGACTTACTTGGTTTCAATTATTTGTCCTAATTGCCAATTACCGCGAAATGAAGAATTGTCCTGTACAAGAACATGATCCAAAACTTGAAGGTTCCGTTTACTGACATGTCATTTTTGCCTAACAATTAGCGATGGAAAATATTTTCTGTGCCTTTTTTCTCCAAAATGCATTAACAACTTGTGCACTATTCATCCCAATGTCCTTAGGGCACATTCGGAGATGCTCTTTCAAGAATGAGATCATTCGGGCACAAGTAAGTTCTCTCTTTTGGATCAGATGTTGAAGTTCCTGTAGGTCACTAATTAAAAACGTTGGCTACTTCAAATAGCACGGTTTGTAGTTCAGAAAATGTAATGATTGACTGTCCAATGGCAAGAACTAAACTTTTCTTGACATATTTAATCAATACTTCACTGCATCCCAAAGGAGCGTCAGCGGCTTTAGTGAATTCCCATTCCATGCCATTGCCCTTCCCAACCATTTTGATCGTATCCCAATTCCAATTTTTTATCAATTCCTGCAGTTCCTAGTTGCAGATACTAGTTGTGATCCAAGATCGGACCTCATTTTCTTGGGATATCCTCTTACAGATGTGAATCGTCGCAGATCCATGATGGAACTACTAGTATCGTATCTATCGGCTAGATCCACATACACAGCTCTACTGCTCATGCAATTAAACAATACGCCTTATGCTTTTCCATGAGTGCGCCCCTTAACGGTATGCTTGATTGCAAAAGGTCCAAAGAGGTCAACTGAACAGTACAAAAACGCTGGTGACGGTTGAAGTCGT